TGGAATTATAATCCGTATGAAATTCGGTCTATGTGGAAGTCCCATTAAAATTTAACTTTTGAATGTCACCTTGGATCAACCAACATGTATCACTTCCCTTTTTTTTTTTATTTCTTATATCTCTCTTTTATTGGTGCCTTCTTTGTATTATTACTTTTTTTTTTATTTTCTTAGAATTGTGCGAACAAGTCTAAAAAAAAATTTGATTAAATTTTTTTTTTTTAGTTATTTTTGATATACTTTATTATTTTGTAATAGAATTATAACCCATGTTGGACTCCAAGTAATACAAAGAATTCAATTAGTTACAATTTCCTAATATTTAGTTTATTAGGATTCAAAATAACTAGTGTTTTTTTACTTGAACACATGAACTTAAAACACTCAATTCCTCTAACACTATCATAACTTTTCTCTATTTAAGGATGCTCAATGACCCAAGAGTAATAGCTTTTGAAAGTTTATTTGTTAGTCAAGAAAACTTCGTAGTTCCAGACATCAAGGTATGTTTCATATTATATATATATATTATCGAATTATATTTTTTTTTAATTTTAACTTTGGTATCACAGTTGGTTTTTGTTTTTTTTTTTAGACGTAGTTTTATATGACTTTGTTTTTTTCGTTAATGACGATAACGACTTTCAAGACCTTAGCCTGTGAGAGATGTAATTTTTTTTTTTTAATAATTCGTTGTTGGCATGGACAAATTTTATTACTTTGATGTGTAATTGATTGCAATGTCTGCTTCTTACCAAGTTTTTTTTTTTTTTTTTACGCAAATTTAGATAAAGTCATAGGAATTATTCTTTTGTTTTAAGTACATTTGATTTTTTTTTTTTTGAAAACTTTACCCCAAAACTTTAATTTGAGCAATTTTTTTTTTTTTTGATGTTTCTTTGGTGGTATCCAACACACTCTTCAACTTCATTTACCACAAGAACTTTTTTGTTGGTATCATGATAATCCAGTCTTCTTTTGATTGTCTTTTATTATTATTATTATTATTATTATTGTTATTATTATTATTATTTTTATTTTTTAAACTTAGTTTGTGTTTATTATTNATGATAATCCAGTCTTCTTTTGATTGTCTTTTATTATTATTATTATTATTATTATTATTATTGTTATTATTATTATTATTTTTATTTTTTAAACTTAGTTTGTGTTTATTATTTTGTTTTATTTCATTTATTTATTTTTGTGTGTTTATTGTTTTGTTCTTGGAACTAGGACCAGGAATGAGATTTATTTCATTGAATTTCTTTTAAATGTTTATAATAGACAATTTTATGATTGACTGATTGGACCATATAAGTATTAGGTGTTTGCCAATTCATCCCTTTTTTTTTTATTAAAAACTTATTTTTGCCCAATGCAAATATTTCTACTTTGTCACTTCGTAGGTCTAAAAGCATTGTTTACCATCAATGAAACTCTGACTAACAGTAGCTATTTTTGTTAAGATCAATGGTTGGTAATTTGTGTGGAGCCCATGTGAAAGTAGTGTTTTTTTACTTGGCTTAAGGTAGGTTCTTGCAAGAGCTCATAACAAATTTTAGTCTCTATAATATCACTGTTGATTCGAGACAAAGAACTTTGACTCGGATAGTTTATTTTAATTANGCTTAAGGTAGGTTCTTGCAAGAGCTCATAACAAATTTTAGTCTCTATAATATCACCGTTGATTCGAGACAAAGAACTTTGACTCGGATAGTTTATTTTAATAATTTTATTTTATTTATTTTTGTTGCTTTTTTGTATGTAATTTTTTTTCCAAATTTTTTCTTGGATTAGTTTTTTTTTTCCAAAAAATTTTAATTCAGGTGGTTCTATTTTTAAAAAATTTGATCTCAAGCATGTTTTTCTTTTCTTTCCTATTGTTGTACAAATTTTAAACTACTATTATCAAGACAGACTTTTTTTTTTTTTGAAATANCAGGTGGTTCTATTTTTAAAAAATTTGATCTCAAGCATGTTTTTCTTTTCTTTCCTATTGTTGTACAAATTTTAAACTACTATTATCAAGACTGGCTTTTTTTTTTTTGAAAAAATTTATCTTAAGAAACTTTGTTCTAAGAAATTTTAACATCGGGTTGACTTTACGCTAAAAATTTTAATTTTAAATAATTTTTCCCAAGAATGTTACTCTAGGTGACATCCATTCCAACAATTTATGGTTTTTATGTAAACTATAGGTGACTTCAGTTAAAAGAACTTTATTTTACTTTATTATTATTATTATTTTGTTGACCTCCTTAAGTGATTTTTGTGTTGACTTGGATGACTCTTGTGACAATTTTAGGTGACTTCTGTGACAATCTTAGGTAATTTCTGTGACAGCTTTAAGGTGACTTCTGTAACAGCCTTAACTGACTTCTGTAACAGTCTAAGGTGATTTTTATAACAGCCCAAAGTGACTTCTATAACAGCTAAGGTGGCTTCTGTAATAACCTTAGGTGACTTCTATAATAGCCCAATGTGACTTTTGTAACAGCCCTAGGTGACTTCTGTAACAGTCCTATGTGACTTCTGTAACAGCAAATGTGACTTCTATAACAGCTTTAGGTGACTTCCGTAACAGCCTTAGATGACTTCTGTAACGGCACTAGGTGACTTCTGTAATAGCCCAAGGTGACTTCTGTAACAGCCCTATGTGACTTTTGTAACCGTCCTAAGTGACTTCTATAACAGTCCAATGTGACTTCGGTAACAACTCAAGATAACTTATGTAACAGCCTTAGGTAACTTATGTAACAGCCTAAGGTGACTTCTGTAACAACCTTAGGTGACTTTTTTAACAGCCCTAGGTGACTTCTGTAACAGCTCTAGGTAACTTCTGTAACAACCCTAGATGACTTATCTACTCTTGTATTGCTAGTATTCTTGTATTGCCACTATTATTATTATTATTTTATTCCCACTTTATTTATAGCATCAAGGTTTATTTTATTAATATATATATATATATATATATATTTTTTCAAATTATTATTTACCTTTTTTTTTCTTTTTATTATTTTTTAGATGGCCTCATCTTAAAAAGCCAAATCGAAAAAAATTATCAAAATTTCAAGTCAAAGAAAGAACTTACCTTCCGATGAGTGGATTGCTGAGTCAGAAGATCCAATTCTAAAAGACAAAGTTTTGTGTTTTCTAACTGTTGTGGTAAAGAACTACAAAACCAACGAGCTGTCAATATTATCACTCAAAGTTCTTGAGCCCATGACTGGTCTCTGCAGCCGCTCGAGAATAATCTATGAACCTGAACTTCATATGCCGATGATTAGTGAATATCCTCTACCAGAGAAGACGCACAAAAGTGACATGGTTAAGTTAGATTGACTACCCTCACTTTGCGCGCCTTCGTATCATTCCAAAGAGCATCTTATCCCAAAGCCACTTGTTGTTGATCTGATCAACCAGAGGACTGCGAGGTGGGGATGTTCATTGAATCCAAGGGGAGATATTCAATATCTAAATGGGTTTTGGGAGTGGTCTCAACGAATTTAGTGCAAGTTGTTAGATAAGGGTTTTGACGAACTTGCTTATTTTGTGCATGCAGCTTCTTTTGATTACTCTCGACCCCCAACGGTGTATATCACGCCCTTTGTGAATTTTGGTGTCCACAAACAAATAAATTTGTTACGAGAGCAAGAGAAATTGGAATCTCACTTTGAAAAATGCAACACGTCACCGGTCTATCAATCCGTAGTGAATATTTTGAAGAAGTTATCCCAAGCTTGACTGAATTGAGAGACTCTGATACTAGTGTTCTTCCTATGACTTGCCTGCATTTGTTTAAGGCTTTTGTCTTAATTAATAAGAAGAAAGGGGCTAATCGTCCCCGTCATTTAGATTGGCTTGATTTTTGGTTCAAGGACGGTGCACGTGCTTCGAATCCCAAGAAGAGCAAGGTATATAAAGCGGCCATGACAAATTGCTTTAAAAGGGATGGAGAATTTTTTGCAAAGCGACGATTGGTGAGACCTATTCAGGTAGAAATACAACCTATGAAGACAAAGGTCAATGNCGTCATTTAGAATGGCTTGATTTTTGGTTTAAGGACGGTGCACGTGCTTCGAATCCCAAGAAGAGCAAGGTATATAAAGCAGCCATGACAAATTGCTTTAAAAGGGATGGAGAATTTTTTGCAAAGCGACGATTGGTGAGACCTATTCAGGTAGAAATACAACCTATGAAGACAAAGGTCAATGGTGATGATCTCTTCATTCTTCTAGATCTTGACCTTGATGTCACAACACGTGAGGACTTAGATATTGCAGCTCATTTAGCTGTATGGCTATGTCGTTGTGTATTTCCTTCATCAGATGATGTTATTTGTCCAACTATCTTCAAGACTGCCTCCCGAATGGCTGCTGGAGTCGCATATAACTTGGTTCTCCCTATTGNTTCTTGACCTTGATGTCACAACACGTGAGGACTTAGATATTGCAGCTCATTTAGCTGTATGGCTATGTCGCTGTGTATTTCCTTCATCAGATGATGTTATTTGTCCAACTATCTTCAAGACTGCCTCCCGAATGGCTGCTGGAGTCGCATATAACTTGGTTCTCCCTATTGTTGCAAGCATTTACAAAGGTTTATCTGGGACACGCAGCACCCGATATGATCAAAAAAATCTCAAAATGGCTTCTTATGCTTTTCTAGGTCATTACTTTTATGCTTGGGCAGCTTTGCATTTCCCTCGGGGAGTTTATGCTGAGATTGATGAGGAGCTTCATTGTCCTTTGCTTCGACGATTCAGAGGTACACTGAATGCCTATCTTTTTTATGAGGAAGAAGCAAAAGGATTTCAAGATCTTCTGCGTGGAAGTATGAGTTCTAGTGATTTTTGCTGGCAACCAGTTCCGTATTTTGGAAACCGAGGGCCTCGTCGAGATGATGGACAAAGATCAGATGAAACCTCTGAATTAATGACAAGTATGCAAGGTGGATACGTCTTGTATCATCGTGGGCCAATTTGCATTCTTGAGATGTATATCCCACATCGCTTTGCTAGGCAGCATGAGTTTCATCAAAGATTGCTAGGTACTCCCTCACATCTATTAATAATTTCTTTTGATGTCTCTTTTTTATATCGGGCATGGTTGAGTTTAATAGTGGGGTAGGATTTCATGTCCTTAATAATTGCGCTCGCATTGAGAATCGATGTGACAGTAGTTATAATAGCTAGTGGAAAGATGTTGGACTCCCACACCTAGATGACATCAATTGTAAAACCTTGTTTGCTAGTGAATCTGAGAATTTCAAATTCAAAACTTAAGCTGATGGGTTAGGGAAGGGGAAATCCCTTCCTATAGTAGCTAAAGCTCCTTCAAGTCTTCGAAAACGGGACACTTCAAAGGATTGTTTGAATTCCCAAGAACAACCAGTTCCGAAGATGTTAAAGGTCACAACACCTGTTTCAAGATCAGCTAATGTTCGATTTGTTCATCCTTTAAACATCCCAGAGTCTACTGAAGTGAGTTCATCAAACGAATCTGTACATGCATTCCTTTCATCCCGCATGTCCAACGGTATTTTCAAGAAATAGGATATAGGCTCGAANTTTGTTCATCCTTTAAACATCCCAGAGTCTACTGAAGTGAGTTCATCAAATGAATCTGTACATGCATTCCTTTCATCCCGCATGTCCAACGGTATTTTCAAGAAATAGGATATAGGCTCGAATTGTGGAAGGATTCCAAGCGCAATTGTACCAGTTGATAATCTTGGTTTTACTAAGCAGGCACTTCAAGAGAGGTGCCAAATAAGAGCTACAGAAGCTGAGCATAATTTGGCTTGTGTCCGGTTAGAAGATGGTGCAAATCATAGCACTATAAAGTCTCTCACAAGCAGGGTTGACCCATCTTGTGATGCTCTGAATGACTTATCAAATTTTTTAGAATTATCCCCGCGATCCCGCAATAAAGGTACTTGCAAAATTTCATTACTNTTAGTTGATAATCTTGGTTCTACTAAGCAGGCACTTCAAGAGAGGTGCCAAACAAGAGCTACAGAAGCTGAGCATAATTTGGCTTGTGTCCGGTTAGACGATGGTGCAAATCATAGCACTATAAAGTCTCTCACAAGCAGGGTTAACCCATCTTGTGATGCTTTGAAAGACTTATCAACTTTTTTAGAATTATCCCCGCGATCCCGCAATAAAGGTACTTGCAAAATTTCATTACTACTATCATTATTATTATTATTATTATTTATATTCAAACCTCTTACCTTTTTTTTTTTAAAGCTTTTCCTCCACTCCCAGATCTTGCCACATTAAATTCCATCCCAGGTATTTGTGGAGACCAAAATCTTGACAATGATATCATTGGAGCTTTATTTGATGACAACAATTGAACCATCTCCATTCTTTCCGGTNATTTATATTCAAACCTCTTACCCTTTTTTTTTTAAAGCTTTTCCTCCACTCCCAAATCTTGCCACATTAAATTCCATCCCAGGTATTTGTGGAGACCAAAATCTTGACAATGATATCATTGGAGCTTTATTTGATGACAACGATCGGACCATGTCCATTCTTTCTGGCAGTGGTGAAATTTTTCCTTTGGTTGATGGAGAAAATGCCAATCCATGTGAAGGGGAAGTTAATTCTAAAACAAACCCTTCATGTGCCATACAAGCAAGGCAAGAAGCAATTAATAATTCTGTTAGGAATACTCTTCCTGAGCCTTATGGACCTGGTGAAGCGCAATCTCCAAGACTAATGCCAATGTTTTCATCTGTCTCAGGTATATTTCATTAGCTTGATCTAGTTGCCCTTTCGATTAGTATGCAACTAATCACATATCTTTATTTGTGTCAGGTCCTCTTGTTGAAGCAATTATTTCTGAAAAATTGGCAAAGAAAATAATTCTGACCGGAATGCCCCCATATTTGAAGGGTGAATTTGATTATGCCATGAAAAATGGCTTCTCTGGATTGAAGACCTGGTAGACCTCCAAGTCTTCAAGTATTAAAGATACTCTTAAAAACTTTTCTATGTTGACACAGATCCTTTGGTGAGAAAAATGGGTTGTCTTCTTATGAAAGTAGATGAGTACCTTTCAAAACCCCAAGAAAGCGTCAAAGTTTTAACCTCTAGAGAAAGAGATAGAAGGTTGGCGACAATTGATAGCACGATATCCGGAGGACAATTCAAAGTTCTTGGCTTGAGTGAACAACTGTTGAAATCTGAAGCAGAGTTATTGAGTCTTGATGATGAAATCCGGCAACTGCAAGATCAGAGGGCCGAGGTAGCATGCAGTATTGACTTCATTCGTGATGAACAACAGAACACTGAAGAGACTATTGTGGTGACGGAGAAAGAACATGTTGAACTCCAGGAGTCTCATATTCGTAGTGTTGAGGAGATACAAGATATAGACAAGATGCGATCCATGTTAGAGAAAGAATTTACTTCACTAGCCTCGATCGACTGGGTTGAGAATTTTTTATGATTTCATAACTCCTCAATTGTAATTCTTTATATATATATATATATTTAGCAAATATGGATGTTTAAATTTGATTTTTTTTTATTGTACTAAAAAAATATTGATTCTCAAATAACTTAGATATCTTAAAAAAATGTTTAAGTTTAAACATAATTTTGAAAGAATATTTTTTTTTTGAGCCGTACACAGTTTTAGCTCATGCGGGCCAGGAGCAAAAAATTTTTGTTTTTGGTTGACCCGTACATAGTTTTAACTCATGCGGGTCAAGAGTAACATTTTTTTTTTATTGTCGTTAAGCTACGTAAATTTTTTTTTAAGCCATACATAGTTTTAACTCTTGTGAGCCAAGAGTAACATGCAGTTTAGGCTCGTGCGTAAAGGAGCGCATGAACTTTTATTTTTGGTCAAGCCGTACACAGTTTTAGCTCATGCGGCCTAGGAGCAAAATGTTTTTGTTTTTGTTTTTTTTTATAGGTTGGTGCAGTGCACAGTTTTAACTCATGCGGGCCAGGAGTAACATGCAGTTTAGGCTTGTGCGTAAAGGAGCGTTGCTTGTTTTCAGGCATAGAAGCACTTTAAAAATTTCCCATTGATTGGGTCAACCCTCAAGCCATCTTTGTCAACAATCTTGTACGCGCCGTTGGTGTAGACTTCTTTCACCACATATGGACTATCCCATTTTGGCATGAATTTTCCACCGGTGCGATGTGGAATGACAATGGGTCTTTGAATTGCAAGGACCAAATCTCCTATTTGAAATGATCGGACATGAACCCTCTTATTAAAGGCTTTGGAAAGTCTGGCTTGATAACATTCCAGGTTTTGTTGTGCATGTAGTCTCTTCTTGTCAAGTGCTTCAAGCTCATCTAGATGTAAATGAACATTTTCTTCATGTGTGAGTTCTTCTTGTAAGGCAATCCGTAGGGAGGGAATTTGACGTTCCAAAGGAAGAACAACTTCAACGCCATACACAAGGGAGTATGGAGTAGCTTGTGTTGGAGTTCGGTATGTTGTTTGATATGCCCAAAGAGCTTCACCAACCCTGTCATGTCAATCCTTCTTTGATTTGGAGACAACTTTCTTCAACAAGTTGCACAAGGTTTTATTGAAGGCTTCTACGAGTCCATTGGCTGGTGCGTTGTAAATGGATGAATTATGTTATATAAACCCAAATTTGATGCAAAGCTTAGCCATGAGGCTATTGACAAATGGTTTTCCATTATCAGTGATAATGTAACAAGGTACACCATACTGATATATAATATTTGTTCGAATAAAGTTGACAATATTCTCTTTTTTCACTTCTTTAAGAGAAACTGCTTCCCCCCACTTAGAGAAATAATCAGTTGCTGCTAAGATGTAAAGATGTCCTACTGACGATTTTGGAGTCAAAAGTCCTACGACATCAAGTCCCCATACATCAAAAGGCCATGATGCGATTGTAGGGTGCAATGAATCAGGTGGCTGGTGAATGAAGTTGGCATGGAACTGACAAGTTTGACATTGCTTAGCATAACTCATCGAGTCTTACACCATAGTGGGCCAATAATACCCCATTCTCTTTATGTGGAAATGTAATTTAGGTCCTGAGTGATGAGCACCATAGATTCCAAAATGAGCTTCCTTGAGTGCTTGAGCAGCTTCATCTTCGTACAAACATCACATGAAAATACCATCAAATGATCAACGATAGAGGATGCCTTTATAATAAATAAATCGAGGAGCTCTCCGTTGTATCTCGGTTCTATGACGTGGGTCATTTGGTAATCTTCCATACTACGAATAATCAATCAGAGGTTGTCTCCAATCTTCATTTTCAACATACACTACTGAAATGGTAGTAACTTCCTCCATTTCAGGGAGTAACGAAGGTATTACCCATCTTTGACAAATTGGAACTGAAATTATTCGGTAATAGGGTTTTGTAAGCACGACGGTAAGATTGGCAAGAACATCAGCATATCTGTTTTCACCGTGTGGTACGTTTTCAATGGTGACTCGATCAACTAATTCATAAGTTGAGTAGCATAGCGACAGTATGGAATCAAATATGGTTTGCAAACATCATACAATTCTAAAACTTGATGAACCACCAGCTGCAAGTCTCCATAAATTTCCAACTGAGAGAGCTGCATATCAAGTGCCATTTCTAAGCCAATGATCCAAGCTTGGTACTCCGCCATGTTATTGGAGCAAGACTTTGTCAAGGTAATTGCATAAGGCAATACTTTGTCTTTAGGGGTAATGAAGACCACACCTACACTAGCTCCATACCTTCGGGCAGCACCTTCTCGAGAGAATTGGTCTTGACAGGATCAGATTTTGAAATGAGATGAACAACATGAGCCAGCATATAATGCCTCAACTTATTTGTAGCAAAGACTAATGCAAGACACATCTTTTCAATAGGTGAGTAGTTTAGTTCTGCACCTACTAATGTCCGACTCAGATAGTATAATGCGTTTTCATTTTCCTCGTCATTAACTTGTGCTAAGATTGCTCCTAATGATTGTTCTTGGGCAGCAATATAAAGGATCAATGGTTTTCCCTGAATTGGTACTGCGAGGACCAGGGGTTGAATGAGATATTGTTTGATATTTTCAAAAGCATTCTGACAGGCATCGTCCCATTCAAAAGGAACACCCTTCTTCATTAGTTTATTGAATGGATGACAACGTCCAGTGGGGTTCGAGATAAATCTTCGTATATAAGCAAGCCTTCCTTTAAGACTTTTCAAGTCATGCAGATTATGAGGCTCTGACATCTTTAGAATAGCCTCTATTTTTGACTGATCAATCTCGATGCCTGACAATAAATTTGAGGAACTTGCCAGAGGTAACCCCAAAGGCACACTTTAAGGGTTTCATTTTTAGTTGATATCTCCGAAGCCGTTCAAAAATATTGCACAAATCATCAAGATGATCTTCACATCTTTTTGTCTTTACGACCAAGTCATTAACATAACATTCAACCTTTTTGTATAGTACATCATCAAAAATCTTTTGCATTGCACGTTGATATGTGGCATCAGCATTCTTGAGTCCGAAGGGCATCACTCTGTAGCAGTAAACTTCCTTGAGGGTTTGAAATGCAGTGAGTTCTTCGTCCTTAGGGTCCATTCGAATTTGATTGTATCCAGAGGAACCATGCATGAAAGATAAGACCTCATGTCCCGTGGTCGCATCAACCATGAGTTCTGTAACCGGTAGTGGAAAGTCATCTTTCGGACATGCTCGATTTAAATCTCTAAAATCAACACAAACTAGAATTTGTTCATTCTTTTTTTTGACAGGCACAATATTAGCAATCCATGTTGGATATTTGACTTCTCGAATGAATTTAGCGTCTATCAACTTATTGACTTCAGCTTCGATCTACGGGACTAGTTCTGGACGGAATCTTCGTTGTGGCTGCTTAATGGGGCGAATTTCGTGTTTAACAGCAAGATGATGAATTGAAACTTTGGGATCATGCCCTGACATTTCTTTGTATGACCATGCAAAAACATCTTTATACACTTGTAATAGTTTAAAGTACTCACCTTTCTTTTGAGGTTTCAGAAGAGCACTGATGAATATTGGTTTTGGATCATCTTCCATTCCTAGATTCAATTGCTTTAGATCATCAATACTGGTTTGCCCTCCTTTTTCAAAAGTCAATGGTGCTGGGTCGGGCTTATCATTAGAAGTTGAGCCTTCTAGTTCTAAAGTTTCATCAATAGTCACATGGTTCACAGAGACAACTTCTTCCTCAATCTTGAATTTATTGATTGGTAAGGAATAAACATCCCTCGAACATACCTGATCCAAGTTTCAAAAAATAATGCACATTCTCATATTTCCATCCTTATTTCTCAGTGATACAATGTTTCCCATCCACACGGGATTTTTTGCTTCCCGAATGAAACTAGACTTGACCAACATATTGACTTTGGCTGAAAATTGTAAAACTGATTTTTTACAGAACCACTGCGGTGAAAAAATGTCATCCGTAATAGCAGAATAGATGATTGCATCATTGTGACCAATATCTTCATGATCATCCTCAATATTCTCAACCATATCTTGCCCCTATCCTTCACAGGTGATAAAAGTTTGGTTGGATTCATTTGTTGAGGATAATTCTTCAATATCAAATTCTTCCACTGTTGTTCACTTAATGGTGACATAGTTCAATGAGACAACTTCTTCTTCGATGCTTTTGGTATGCACTATTTTTTGTCTTTTCTTATTTCTTGAAAGCAAGTCTTAGGTAGCTATAGGATTATTGAGATTAGTAGTGCCTTCCTCAGCTACAATTGCAAGCTTTG